ACCCACACTGACACAAATAACCAAGAAAATAAATGTGGAGAAGGGACCGTCCTCCTCACAGAAGAATTCCAATTAACAAATGTAGATGGAAATAAGAAAAATATAAAATTGCCATCAGGTAAACACTACTATAATAACTGCTACAAGCAAGAACTACCAAAGAATGCTGCACTGAGTGGGCAAAAATTTGAAAACAGGATATCTGCATTGTTTCAAAGACTCTCCCCCAAGATACCCAGTAATTACAAAGAGACAAAAAGTAACTTTACTAGCAGAGAGACTTGACAAACATGATCTTAAGTAAAGAAGCGTTAACATCATCTCTAACAGGATATGCTGACACCCTGTACCCTGTGAAGTGATGTTCTGAGTAGCACTGAACATGTACAACCTCAGTCTAACTATGAGAAAACACCAGACATTCTACAAAATAGCTCTGACCACACTCACCACAAGCATGAAGGCAACGGAAGATGGGAAAAGACTATCACAGGTCAGAAGAGATAGGGAGACACAACAGCTCAATGCCGTGTCTCACCCTGGACTGAATATGGAAAGAAGTGAAGGGCATTAGAGGAAAAACCGGTGAGATCCCAGGAGGGTCTGCAGCTTAGCTAGCAGTACTATACCAATGTCAATCTCCTCGTTCTGATCACTGCGCTCTGGTTACGTGAGCTGTGACATTCGGGAAAGCTGCGGGAGAGGCATCCCTGAGCTCTCTGTACCATTTGTGCAACTTCTCTAAGTTTAAAGTTATCTCAAAATTTTAAAAAAATGTTTAAGCATCCTGTACTTTCTCTCCTTGAACTGAATTAAAACAAAGTTGATAAATTCAAGAAGTATTTACATAGGGTAAATCCAGCATTTCTTTATTTGAAAAGCAACCTACACTGGAACAAGACTTAAGCCACTGAGTTATCAGGTATTGATTAAGTGTTTACGGTATTCCAGACCTCTACCAGATGCTAGAGATGCTGTCTTCAAGCAGCTTACAGCTGGTAAGAGAAACAAAAATGATAAATTATCCACCTGATAGATGAAAACTTCTGACACACACATAACCAGGCTATAACCCAATGGTTAACAGACAACAGTAGCATCACTCACAATGTTAAAGTACGTAAATGAAAATCCTGTGGACAACTAGAATCTTCAAACACGACGGTAATACCCACACATTTACAGAGTCAGCTTCATATGCTCACTACATCTATTTCATGTAGCAGTCTTAAACATAGTAATTAGCATCCAGTGTTTCAAAAAGAAATATTAAATATTTTGATCAAAGACTCTTATTTCTCCAACCTAGAAATGAGCTGCTTCCCTTAACCTCAGGCAAAAAAAAGAAAAAAAGGGAGGTAACAGTTACAACCACAAAAATCGAACCGAACAAAACAGTTCATAAATCAAGAACAGTCTCAGAAAAAAACAGGTGGATTAATTTACATGGAGAGTATCTGGCTAAAGACAGCTGACTGAAAATCAAAATGCCAACCAATATGACAGTATTATAAATTCAGTAGAGAACTCAATGAGTCTGGACTTTTAATTCTTCACTATAATAAAGCCTGAAGCAACTTAGGGAAAACATTTCATCTTCCCTCCTGCAGGTCAACTAGCAGGGCTCGACCGCACACCAGGAGCTGGGGCAGACGTGCACACCTGTTCCTGACACCGCGCGCTGTCTCAGAACTTGTAAGAATCAAACGGCACCATTCTAGTGTCCCCGACAGACCTTTCCAAATACACAGCAGTAACACAGTCTAAACCTACATACAGGTCTACTTAAGACGGGGTTACACCCCACCAAAGCCACTGTAGGTTGGAAACATTGCTAGGCTGAACTGTATCTAATACACCTTGCCTACCTTACAGGTGTTCAGAACCCTTCGTCCACCCATGGTTGTGCAAAATCATCCAGCACAAAGCCTGTTTTATAATAAAGTGCTGGACATCTTGCAGAATTTACTGACTCCTGTGCTGGACAGAGTGGCTGTCAGATACTGACTGCTCAGCGCGTGATCACATGGTTGACCGGGGGCTACAACTCCTGGGCCCTGCCCAGCGTCACCATGCCGCTAGCCTAGGAAGAGATCAAAACTCAAAATTCCAAGTATGGTTTCTACCGGCTACGTATCACTTTTATATCACCACAAAACTGAAAAACTAAGTCAATCATCGTAAACTGGGGACAGTCTATATTCTTAAAGTTGGTCACCCAAGGGTTACGCTAACAACTGCGATGTTATGGAAACATTACTGTTAAGAGTCACACCCAGGGAAAGAGCCAGATCCCTCGGAATGGACAGTCTGATTATTACCTGACAACTGAGAGAGAATTCAGTCATACATACAAGTATCAATAAGTTGTGATAAGCCTCACAATAACATGTCAAATTTCTGCCTGTTTTTCTAAGGTTGCACATTAGCCAGAAAAAGCCTTCAAAATATTCAGATGCTATGGCTGATCCTGTTGTCAGTTTACTTGAATTTCACTGATAGTACATACATGAAAACACTGCTCTCAATCATCATCAACATTTTTCTAGCAAATAGAGAACAGGCAGATAAGAAAGGTGAAACACAAAAAAAACAGTGCAAACTTTCATAAAAAGTCTCACAAAAAAGTAACAGCTCTTCAAACAGCTCCACATCTGCATCTGCAGGTCCCAGACTCAAAGCTGGCAGGGACCAGCCAGCAGACGCTGCTGCGCCCCGGGCTGCCTCTTCCCTCCACATTCTTTCTTTAGGTGGTACCATCCTGTGTTGTACCTTCTAAATACTTAAATGTTCTGAAAAAAATATAAAGTGTCAAAGCAAGTGAGACATGCTGCCACTTTTTAAAAACGGGAAGAAGAACCCACACACACTTCCTCACGGGTGCACAGAGTACACCCCTGGGAGGACGGGGTGTATTTGGCCTCAATGAAAACTGCGCAGACAAGACATAGAGATTTTCATTCTACACCCCGTCAGACTCTTCAAATTCTGAATCATGTGAAGGCAGTTTGTATTTAACATAATTAAACCAACAGATAAAGGCAGAAGACTCCCCATCTTCTTTCTCTCATTAGCATTTAAATCGCACAAAGGCAGAGATTTTTGTCTATTTTTTCACTGCTATATATCCCCTCTGCCTAGCTCACAGCTGGTGCTCGAAAAATATCTGTTCAATGAAAGAACTCCCTAACCTCTCCAGTAAGTTCCAGACTTGTACATCCTCCCCTGCACCTCACCATCAAATAGGCCATCCTTAGTATGTCCCACCCATCCCTGTCCCCGCAGAACAGCCTGCTCCTCACACCTCTTTCCAGCTCAATCCATGTACCACTGGCCACCAGGAAAGCCCCAAACCCATGAGTCACCCCTGTCCCAACCAACTGCATTCCCAGCCAAACATGCCAAGTTCGGTACCTTTAAATCCAAAACACAGCCCACCCTCTTTTCCACCTGACTGCAGTCACACTGGAACCTCCCACAGCCTTCTCCCTGGCACCCAGTCTTCTTCAGTCAGACTGTAAACCACCCCAGCACCCCCAGCTTCACACAGAGGCCCAGAGCTTTTCAATGCACCTGAAGAATAAAAGCCAGCCCCTCTGGGATAACAGACCTCACGTGACCTGACTCCTGGCAGCGACCTAACCTCTTACCTCCCGCCAGGGTCCATGCTCACTGACTTCCTATCAGTTGCCGAGCCAGAGACTGAACCACCTCTGGGCATTTCCATGTGCTGCTCCCTCAGACAGGAACACTCTCCCCTCAGACTTCCAAAGGCGAAATCATTCTGTTTTCAGACAGCAGGTCAAAAGTCACCTCAGACAGGTCTTTCCTGACCACAGCATCCGAAGCCATCTTTCCCAGTCACTACCACAATACCCTATTTCACTCCCTTGGCAGCACTTAGGACTCTCTGAAATCACGTTTATTTCGTAATTCCTTTGTCTTTCCCTTACCTCCCAGAACTGAAGCTCCAGGAAGGCAGAAATTTCACATTTTGTTTTCGGCTGTAGCCCTAATGCCTCCAGTACGCCTCGCTTACAAACCAGGTGCTTAGTAAGTCTTGAACTAACAGAAAAGCAAAAGTGACTTAAAGAAGGGCCACGACATTTAACTCAGTGACAGGCTGGTGAAGATAAAAGACAGGACTAAATTATCTTCACCCCTAAAACAATGAAAAAGCAACACAGAGTGGAGAGTGAAGAAAGCATTTCAGATGTAGGCGAGAAAAGGTATTTTTCAAACTCCGTGCACGCACACTACAGAGATGTTCCCCCAACTTACAAACAGCACCTGAAAAAAAAAAGAAAAAAAGAGTAACTCGAAACGCTTTGTACATCAGCTATTTCATCTCTGACTCTCTTGGAAGGGTCTCCCAAACAGTGCATTTAGGTAAAAGAAGCAGAACACGACCAATGTGTTCAACTGTCTGTCTTGGAAAAGAATGTGAGGCTGTGAGGAAGAGTGTTTTCGGACGCCTATTACGCGGTCAGTAGGAAATCCGAACTGAGTGAACACTGCCCACATTTCACTACGCGTGTAGATTTGGGACAGGTCTCGTTCAAACATTTCTATCCTGTGAAACCAAAGAACCTATAGCGAATGTTAATAGTTTTTTCTTGTTACCTTCAGAATTTAAACTTGCAAGGCACTGTCCTTCAGCGGGGAACAGCTGTGCCGGGGAAGGGAGAGGACCTAACCCAACAACAGTGCGCCCCGCGGACGTCCGT